ACATAGTACTTACTGTTTTCCAAGTAGTATTATAAATACTTTATATGTATTAACTTCTTTATTCCTCACAACACTCTATAAGGTAGGTACTATTATTATTACCCATTCACCAATTATCCATTATTATTATCCATTCACTAATGAGAAAACTGAGCTATAGAGTTCAGTAATTTGTTCAAGTATATACAACTAAAATGTTAGATATTGTGGTAATTATTTCACAATATACATAATTTATTATGCTGTACATTTTTCCTTTTTTCTCTTTTCTTTTTTTTTTAAAGTAGGCTCCATGCCCCACAAGTAGGCTTGAACTGACAACCCTGAGATTAAGACCTGAGTTGAGATCAAGAGTTGGACGCTTAACTGACTGAGCCACCCAGGTAACCTTGTTTGTATGCTGTACATTTTAAACTTCTACATTCTGTATGTCAATTATATCTCAATAAAACTGGGGGGGGGGATAGTGTTAGAATGAGGATTCAAATTCAGATAACCCAGATCCAGAGTTCATGGACTTAACCAGTATACAGTATTTGCTCACAACTAAAACAATCCACTTGTGATAAAATTCTGTAACTTCTTCAAATCTTTTAATAATGTAGATATCAGCTTTACATTTGGGCAGGCATATGTCTTCAAGTATTAATTTGATTATATTCTTTGTTTCCTTCTCTCTCTCTCATACTCTGAAAGTCCCTTTCCCTTTCTCCCCCAGGCCACTCTGAAACAAAAAAACAAAGACGCAAAAACAAATCTTCAGACTTAGCAATTTCAGGTACAAGCTTATAAAGCCAGCTTTTCCGATCCCACCTACTAGATAATACTGAGCCTAGAAAAGAGGAGGCAAATGGCAGAGTAGCCACTAGAGCAGGAGAGCAAGGACCAATAGGTGGAATGGCGTGACCCTCAACCCAGAAGGAAATGAGCCTTTGGAGGAAAGAACAAGGAGTAGAAAGACAAAGAATAATTTATCCTTAAAAATGGACTCTTGGAAGACTAAATGAAATAAGCCAGTCACAAAGGACACATTTGGGGGTACCTGGGTGGTTCAGACGGTTAAGCATCTGGCTTTTGATTTCAGCTCATGATCTCAGGGTGGTAAGATGGAGCCCAGCATTGGGCTCATGCTGGGGATGAAGCCTGCTTGAGATTCTCTCTCTCCGTCTATCTCCCTTGCCAAAACAAAACACATGTGTTGTATGGTTCTATTTACATAAAGTACTTAGGTTAAATTCACAGAGACAGAAAGTAGAATGGTAGTTGCCAGAGGCTGGGGCAATGGGGTAGGGAAAATGGGGAGCTATTGTTTAATGGGTAGAAAGTTTCAGTTGGGGAAGATGAAAAGTTCTAGAGACAGATGGTGGTGATGATGGTACAACAGTGTGAATGAACTTAATGCCACTGAATTATGCAACTTAAAAATGGTTAAGATGGTAAATTTTGTGTTATGTAAATTTCACAACTTTAAAACATGACTTCTGATTCATCACTGTTCAGCATGGACATCCCTCAATTCAGCAGTCCTGGACATCAATAACCCCATTCTTCATAAAAGAGATGGGGACTCATGGAACTTGGCCACCTTGGGCAGGTGATAGAGCATGAAGGGAAAACCATGCCCCTTCCGGGGAGGAACTCAACAGTCTCAGCTGGGAATCCCTTGGTGAAGACAGCAATAGACATACCATTATCACACCTGGTTTTCATCAGTGTATACATACTATGTTTAACCTTGTACATAGATATCCAATAATAATAAATGAATGCACTGTACTATTGCACAATCTTTGGTTACCCAGTCTCTAAATACTGAAACAAGGATGTTTCCAGTTATTTTTCAAGACTAGAAGTCAGGGGTGTCTGGGTGGCTCTGTCGATTAAGACCTTTGGCTCATATCAGGATCCCGAGGCCCTGGAATCAAGCTCCAAGGCGAGGGGGTTTGCATAGCAGTGAGTCTGCTTTCTCCTCTCCCTCTGCCCCCCACACTTGTGCTGTCTCAAATAAATAAATAAAATCTTTAAAAAAAAAAAAAAAAGCCTGGAAGTCAGGGTTAGGAATTAGGAACATCTTTATTTTCAACCCAGCTCTTTTATTACATTTATATATGTTCCTTTCAGGGTCCCTTTAACCTCTCTGGCTCTGCTTTTTTTTTTTTTTTTTTTTTTTTTTTTTTTTACAGTTCCCCTAATAGGGTGGGACTGGAAAAGTGGTTCTCCTTCCTTGCTACACATTAGAATAGCTTAGGAGTTTCTAAACTGTACTCAAGCTCAGACCATATTTCAGGACAATTACCTCAAAATCTCTGGGCATGAGACATGAGTGTTTCTAAAAGCTCCTAAATGACCCTAATGTGCAGCCCAAAATAAAAATAACGTCTTAGGTCTCTTTCTATTCTAAAATGATGAAAGCCTCTGAATTAAAGAGCGAGCTATAAATATTTTGCACAAATAATGGTTTTCCTTTTCAATTACCTCCTTGGAAAGTATTTCCCCAGAAAGGGACTATAAATCAAAGGGTATTTTTAAAAGACTTTATTTATTTATTCATGAAAGATACAGAGAGAGAGAGGCAGAAGGAGAAGCAAGGAGCTCGATGAGGGACTTGATCCCCAGACCCGAGATCACACCCTGAGTTGAAGGCAGATGCCCAACCACTAAGCCACCCAGGCATCCCTAAAGGGTATATTTTGTGAGATTGCTATTTGGAATAATTAGGCTGATCTACAATGCCATCTACCAAATATGAATATACTCCTTCTTCATTGCCACATCAATATTGCAATACAGAATTTTTATTTATTATCAAGTTAACAGATGTGAAATATATCTCATAGCTATTTTTAAATGCATTTAAAAAATTCTTTGTGAGACTGGACATTTCTTCAATGTTAGCTATTTGATTTCTCTCTGTGAGCACTATCTTTTGAGCTTTGCCATTTGAGATTGATAATCCTTCTTGATATCATTATTAATCTTTTAATATAAACAACATAAAATAGCTACCATTGAGACCTACCATGTGCTACTGTACCATGCTTTACATGTATTTTATTTTTTACAAAAATTATACAAGGCCTTTATTATTCCCACATTATAAACGAGAAAGCTAAGGTTCAAACAGGTTAGGCAAGTTACCCAAAGTCACATAGCTAATAAATAACGGAGCTGGGATTTGAATCCACCTCCATGTAGCTTTCAAGGACTACCCTCTTTACTGGACAGGTAAACATTCAATGCCTGTCCTGTTCACAGTACATGCTGACATTTTGCACCATGTGATTCCTGCTCTCTGACCCACAGTGATGGGTCATTTCAGACCCAAAGGTAAATGATGAATAATATATCCTGGTCAGCAACCTGTGGTGAGCCAAGCCACATTAGAATAGCTTAGGAGTTTCTAAACTGTGATTACATTCCTCTGTTGAGAATTTGAATTTGGAACCGTTGAGTGTTGATGCACTGAATAGAAGGAGCAAAAGTGAAAAAGACTGAATGAAGAGTTGTCTTGTGTATACTGGAGTCAGAGAAGCCATGACAACTTGAAATTATGAGGAACTAGAAACTAGGGTTAGCAGAGAAAGACAATTGGTAGAGAGAAAACTAACTAGATGTGCTTAAAGAAGTAGAGAACTAATCAAAGAACAATCATTTGGCCCATGAGAGAAAAACCAAAGAGTCAAATACCTGAAGCTACCTCTGTTTTCAGCAACTCTCCAGTTTAGATGCAGTTCATGTATATCCCTAACATAGGTATCCTCTTTCGTGAGCTAACTGGTCTGTGTCTCTGTATCTTGCTATCAAACAAGTCAAAATAAAACACTCTTTTAATTAAAATTTTTAAATATTCTGGATATTAAGTTTTTATGTCATATTTATCATAAAATGTTTCCATTTCCATTCTTTCCTTCTTTGCACTACATTTTTACTTTTATAAAAGTGGAACCATCAATCTTATAATCAGTAATACTTTCACTGGTCAAAAACTTACGTTTACAGAAACTATAATGACAGAGAGCAGAGAGTGGTTGCCTGAAGATGGGGGAGGTAAAAAGTGGGAGGAGTCGGGAATGAAGCTTTAAAAATGGCCATGGAGAAACTTTGGGGGTGATGGATATGTTCAATATCTTGAGTGTGGTGAAGATTTCACAAGTATACACTTGTCAAAACTTATGATATTACACATTTTTAAGTATGTGTGGTTTATTGCATGCCGATGATAATTTAAACTTCTTTTTTTTAGAAAGGCTCCATGCCTAGTGTGGAGCCCATTGTGGGGCTCAATCTCACGACCCTGACATCAAGACCTGAGCTGAGATCAAGAGTCAAACGCTTAACCAAATGAGCCAACCATGTACTCCTAAACAATTTATGTTTTTTTAATAAATTAATTTTTATTGGTGTTCAATTTACCAACATACAGAATAACACCCAGTGCTCATCCTGTCAAGTGTCCCCCTCAGTGCCCGTCACCCATTCACCCCCACCCCCCGCCCTCCTCTCCTTCCACCACCCTTAGTTCGTTTCCCAGAGTTAGGAGCCTTTATGTTCTGTCTCCCTTTCTGATATTTCCCACACATTTCTTCTCCCTTCCCTTATATTCCCTTTCACTATTATTCATATTCCCCAAATGAATGAGAACATACACTGTTTGTCCTTCTCCGATTGACTTACTTCACTCAGCATAATACCCTCCAGTTCCATTCACGTTGAAGCAAATGGTGGGTATTTGTCGTTTCTAATGGCTGAGTAATATTCCATTGTATACATAAACCACATCTTCTTTATCCATTCATCTTTCGATGGACACCGAGGCTCCTTCCACAGTTTGGCTATTGTGGACATGGCTGCTAGAAACATCGGGTGCAGGTGTCCCGACGTTTCATTGCATCTGAATCTTTGGGGTAAATCCCTAACAGTGCAATTGCTGGGTCGTAGGGCAGGTCTATTTTTAATTCTTTGAGGAACCTCCACACAGTTTTCCAGAGTGGCTGCACCAGTTCACATTCCCACCAACAGTGTAAGAGGGTTCCCTTTTCTCCGCATCCTCTCCAACATTTGTTGTTTCCTGCCTTGTTAATTTTCCCCATTCTCACTGGTGTGAGGTGGTATCTCATTGTGGTTTTGATTTGTATTTCCCTGATGGCAAGTGATGCAGAGCATTTTCTCATGTGCATGTTGGCCATGTCTATGTCTTCCTCTGTGAGATTTCTCTTCATGTCCTTTGCCCATTTCATGATTGGATTGCTAAACAATTTGTTAAAACAAATACTCTTCTTTCCAGTTAAGATACTTATACAATTCTATTTCATTCAACTCATTATGCTTTATGCTTAACTGGAACTCACCTGCAATTTATTGTGGTTTATACTATAAGAACTTAATCCAAGTTTATTTTTCTCAGTTTTAATATTCTTTTTCAACTACATTTTATAAATAGTTCTTTCACCATTGTTTATTACACTTAGGAAGTCATGCGCTGAAAGCCCTATGGTCTTCAGTCTATTTCTATTAATATTTTTCATTCCGGGATCCCTGGGTGGCGCAGCGGTTTGGCGCCTGCCTTTGGCCCAGGGTGCGATCCTGGAGACCGGGGATCGAGTCCCACGTTGGGCTCCCGGTGCATGGAGCCTGCTTCTCCCTCTGCCTATGTCTCTGCCTTGTCTCTGCCTCTCTCTCTCTCTGTATGACTATCATAAATAAATAATTTTTAAAAATTTAAAAAATATATATTTATTTTTCATTCCTTGGCCAATTTTTCTATTTTTAAACCTAATACTATCTGCTTTGGAGGTCTGGAATTTTATTCCGTTGTGATATTTGTAATGTTTTAAGTCATGTAAAGGATTTTTACATTAGGCAAAGGAGCTAATGTTAGTACACACACACACACACACACACACAATTGTTCTTGTATACTTAAATGAAATAAATTTCGTGTAACTGTTATCCAGCCACCATAACTCCTGTGTACCGAGAAAATTTTCATTCTGGACCTAGCAGGCCACACAGAAGTCCGATAACATACACCTGGTTGCGTTTCAACACAGGACTATTTTCATCATTCAACCACTTCCTAAGTTGCCTTTATTGTTTTCTACTAACTTTGCCTCAAAGTTCTTGAATAAGGTTTACAGTTTTAACTTAGGTTTAATTGGGCACATATGACATGCCCAGGACTGTGAAAGGTAATAGGAATAAAAACAGAAAGTGGCATCCTTGGGAAGTGTATGTAATTCATATCATGGCTCTTCTTCCTGAACTGAAGCAAGTAATAAATTATGTAGCACAAAGTAAGACACTAAAGAATACGGATCTTAAAAAAGTCCCTTTAACTTCAGGTTCTTTGGTCTTTCAGGGATTATTGGGTAGTGCTGCCAGACCAGTGCTTTAATGCTTTCCTGAATTGGCCCTCCACAGGGTAATGCAGAAGGAGGTGTTCGTTGTTACATATGGACAAGTTATACAAAATTGAAACTGCTGATAGAAATTACTTTCATGTACCATTATTCCTTCAGGAGAAAGAAGAACTCAGAATCAAAAGCTGTCATATAGGTGGCTGGCAAAATAGATATGGCCCTGAGGCACCGATTTCAGTGCAATTAACCCTTTCTGGAAAGTCTGCAAGAGACCATAGAGTCTCTTTTCCTGGAAAAAAAAAAAAAAAAAATTAGTCAACATTTTGGGCAAATATTCCCACTCCAAATTATTAATACTATCATTTTTGTCAATAATTAGCATGCTTCACCAATCAATATAGTATAGAGGCTGAAAGTTCAGGCTTTGAAGTCATTCTGACCTGAGTTAGATTCCTGACCCTTCTCTTTCCCACAGTATGACCCTGAGCAGGTCTTATTAACCTCTCTAAGCTTCAAGTTCCTCTTGAAAAAGCAGAGAACAGTCCAAAGTGATTTAATATTTTTCAGTGTAATAGGATGTTAAGTATGAAGTTCAGGTTATCCCAGAATTTTGGCAGATGTCCCAAAGGCTGCGAGCATCAGTTGTCAGAAAACCTATTCAGAATGTGCTATACAATCATGAGATCAATTTTGTGATCCTCTACTTGATGTTGCACATTAAGAATTAGAAGACATAAGGAGATAAATCACTAGACCTGAAAGACTAGAAAAACCAGCATACAGAATTCTTTGGGTTTTTTTTTTTTTAAAGATTTTATTTACTTATTTGACAGAGAGAGAGAAAAAAAAAGTGAGCAAACAGAAGCAGGGGGAGGGAGAAGCAGGCTTCCCACCGAGCAGGGAGCCCCATGTTAGGCTCCATCTTAGGAGCCCACGATCATGGCCTGAGCCAAAGGCAGATGCCTAACCAACTGAGCCACCCAGGCACCCCTCATTATCTCTTTTAATACCATTTCAATCATTGTCATTTATATCTTGTTTTGGATTTCCTATTAAATATACAACAGAACCTCAATATATCCTTCATGACTTTTGACAGCTTTTTTTTTTTAAGATTTTATTATTTATTCATGAGAGATACAGAGAGAGAGAGGCAGAGACACAGGCAGAGGGAGAAGCAGGCTCCATGCAGGAAGCCCCACGTGGGACTCAATCACAGGACTCCGGGATCACCCTGAGCCAAAGGCAGATGCTCAATCGCTGAGCCACCTGGGCATCCCTGACAGCACTTTCATATTTTTACTTTTTGTCTCTTTGTGCTGCATCTTGGTGAAAGCTTCAGTACTGTCTTCTAACCTACTACCTCAAAATGTCCAAAACTATAATGGTCATTTCCTACCATCACCATACCCACTCTTCCAGTTATTTCTCTTCTATATTCCTTATCTCAGTGATTGGCATTACCATCTGTCAGAAATCCTGATTCCTTCTTCTCCCAGGCTCACCTTCTATTAATCCTCTATACTATTATCAGGGGGATTTTAAAAAATACTAATTACTCATTAATACTCATATTAATCCTGTATGTAAGACAGATCAGTGGCATTCCACTGACCTTCAGAAACTGCTTACCCATTAGGCCTCATATTTTTGCCACCTTCTAGTTCTTCATTCATTCAATATGTATTTTTATTTGTTGAGTGCCTATAATGTGTTAATTACTGTTCTGGGTCTTTGGGATACTAGAGTAAACAAAACAATCCCCAAGCCTTGTATTCATAGAACTTGGGATGAAAAGTAAGCAGTAAAAAAGTAAGTGAAGTATATCATATGTCAGAGGTAATAAATGCAGTGGAAAAAATAAAGCAAGAGAGGAGAATGCTGGAGGTGGAAGATGAACAAGGAAATCTTAAATGACCAGAGCAGGCATTACTGAGATGGTGATATTTGAGTGAAGACTCAAGAGAGGTGGGGGAGAAAGCAATAAAAACATTAGAAGAAAGATCACTGAAACCAAAAGGATCAGCCAATCTAAAGGTGTTGAAGAGGGAAAATACCTTCTTCAAGAAACAGCCTAATCAAGATGTTTGAGCAACTGGTGAAAAGTTCCTCAAGTCTGATCTTTTGGGAGCTTATAGGCCACTGTAAAGCATTTGGCTTTCATTCTGAGGTGAGACACCATTGGATGGTGTTGAGTAGAACAATAACACGATCTAATTTCTATTTTAGAAGGATTACTCTGTGGCTGTGGAGACTAGAATTTAAAGGAACATTGAAAGTAAGGAGACCAGTGAGAAGGCTTGATATTTTATACTAGGATAGTAGTGGTAGGGGCTGTGGACATGGTCAGATTGATATGTCTTGAAGGACTTAACCAATAGGTTTGGCTAACTACTGTTCTAGACCTTGGAGGTGGTTTGACTGAGAGGGTGGATGAGGGTCAGGAAAGAGAAAGAGGTGGCAAAGATGAGTCAAAGGCTTTTGGCCTGAGCAACTTAAAGGATGGAATGCCATTAACCTAGATGGAGAAGATGTAAGGAAGAGCAGATTTGATAGGTAAGGTCAGAAGATCAGTTTGGGAAATCTGAAGGTTTAGAGGCCTAGCAAACCTCCTTCAGGAGATATCAAGTGACTATATCATGAGTCTGGAGTCTGAGCAGGGGTCTTGGCCAAGATACATACTTGAGAGTAATCAGTGTCTCAGTACTATTTTAAGCCATGAAAATGGATGAGATCAGCTAAGGAAGAAGTGTTAACAGAAAAAGAAGAGAGACAAACACTGAATCCTGAACAACTCTGAGGGATTGGGGAAATGAGGAGAAATTGGCAAAGGAATCTGAAAAGTAGCCATAAGGAATGTGCCATAAGGAACCAGGAAAACCAGGAGAGTGAGGCATCCTAGAAGGGAGAGAAGAAAGTGTTTCAAAAATGAGGAAGTGGTCACCCTGTCAAATCTGTTTGAAGACTGAGAATTGGCCTTAATGAAATGGATGACAACACCAGTGGTGACCTTGATAAGCAAGCACACGGTCAATGAACTGGTTGGGGGAAAAGGCCTTATGACAGAAGACTTGAGAGAATTGGAGCCAGCGAGTACATGTGACTCTTAAGGAGTTTTAGAAAGGGCAACAAAAAAATGATAACTGGAGGAGGAAAGTGCACCAGGAAGAGGGTTCTTTGTTGTTGTTTGTAATATATTAATTTTCTATTGCTTGTGTAACAAATTACCACAAATCTAGTGGTTTAAAACAACATAATTTAGTTATCTTACACTTCTATCAGTTAAAATTTCAACTCGGATCTCACTGGGCTAAAAATGAAGGTGTCAGCAAGACTATGTTCTTTTCAAAGGCTCTAGGGGAGAATCTGTTTTCTTGCTTTTCTAGCCATGAGGTCACTCACATTCCTTGGCTCACGGCCCCCTTCCTCCACTTTAAAAACCAGCAACATTGCATCATTCTGACCATTCTTCCCCAGTCACATCCCCCTCTGACTGCCTTATTCTGCCTTGCTCTTCTACTTTTAAGGCCACCTGTGATTATACGGGGCCCTCTGGGATAACACGAGAAACTCTCCCTATTTTAAGGTCAGATCATTAGTAATCTTAATTTCATCTGTAACTTTAATTCCCCTTTGTATTGTAAAGATATTCACAGGTTCTTTGGATTTGGATGTGGATGTCTTTGGGGAGCCAAGACTCTGCTACATATAGGCTACATTACTGCAGACCTGTTGATGGAAATAAACTAATAAAAAAGAAACAGAAAACTTGGTGATGCAGGAGAAGGTAGAATCATTGGAGTGACATGACTTAGCGAATGGAGGAACTGGTTTCCACAGGAGCAAGGAGGGGACTTCCCCCATTTAACAGAAGGAAAGGGAGAGGACAACATACGGGGACAGATGCTTAACACAACTAAAGTTGATGTCTCTCTGAGAAATTTACAAGGACTATCTCACCTAATGCACACCAATGAATGACTAAAGTAGATGCTATCATTATGCCCATTTCTAGATAAGAAAACTAAAGATTTGGCTGAAATAAGCCTAAACCATAATTTTCCTTTAGGTGTTGGTCTTATTTGGGAGTATTAAAAAAAAAAAAATCTGCCTCACAAGATTAACTCAGCAAATGTAGTTTGGTCACTACATTCATTCATTAATAAATCATTTTTAGTATCATGAGGCTATGCATTTCAAAACAGTTTAGGAACTAATATTTGTCTTTTAATCATTGGAGCAGGGGTGGCCCAAGTGGCTCAGCAGTTTAGTGCCGCCTTCAGCCCAGGCATGATCCTGGAGATCCTGGAGCCTGCTTCTCCCTCTGACTGTGTCTCTGCCTCTCAATCTCTCTGTGTGTCTCTCAGGAATAAATAAATAAAATCTTAAAAAAAAAAAATCATTGGAGCAGTATTTCTTTAATTAATTACCAAGATCAGGTAATTTTTTAGAAAATTCTTATTTATTCTGTTGGTATGGTTTATTCATATTCTCTTTTCTTGAATCTTGTTTAGTATTTTAATTTTCCTAAGCATTTATCTTTTTTTTCAAACTTATTAGTATAGAAGTAATAACTTCCCCAAATACTCTTTTTTTTTTTAATAAGATTTATTTGAGAGATAGAGGAAGTGTGCATGCAAGCAGGGGAGGAGGGAGCAAAGGGAGAGGGATAGAGTGAATCCTTGAGCAGGATGGCCCCATCCCAGGACCACAAGATGATGACCTGAGCCTAAACCAAGAGTCAGTCATTTAGATTGAGTCACCCAGATGTGCCACACACCCCCAATTTTCTTAATTCTACATTATTTCTTTTATCTTGTACATCATTCCTGAATTTAAAAATGACTATAATTAATTTTTAAATGAATTTTTCATGTAGAACTTTCTATACCCTTTTAATACACTTATTTGTAGTTTTAGAGCTTTTAAAACTCATTTCTATGCAGATTAATTTAAAGGCCCTAACTTCATTTAAAAGAATGGAGCTCCTCCTACTGTTTTCCTGGATTAATGCTAATTTGTTACATCCTAGTTTGTGTAGAAAGGATTAGAATTCCATTTATGTAAGCAAAACCAGAATGTAAGACATGTCTTTCACCATTCAAAAGTTTCTTACATGCAATAAAAATTGCAAGTGATCACTAGGAAATTACCTGCTTTGGCAGGAAATACCAAAGATTAATTCAACCATGCTTCCTGTTGTTTGGGTAAGGAGTTTCCCTTCTGGAACCAGAGAGCACAGAATTGTTATTAAAAAAAAAAAAAAAGTGGGCTTTGGGTTAGGCCATTTATCAGCTACGTGCATTTGAACAAATAACCAGTTACCAAATGTTTACTGGCGCTCATGGACAATTAGGCACTATCCTAGCAGTTAGGGATACATGAATAAGAAACACTGGCCCCTGTCCTCCCTTCTGTCCTACCCTTGGACAAGCAGAGACATGAGTTATGATCCTGGTTCTTTTATTACCCTTTTGGTAACATGGGCAAGTCATTACAGTAGTTGAGCTTAGTTTTCTATTTGTGAAATGGAAGTAATAATACCTACCTCACAGAGTTGTTGTAAAAACTAAATGATAAAAATACTTAGGTAAAAATACCTAGTATATAGTAGGTATGTACTAATGGGAGCTCCTTTTCTTTCTCCTTTTAGATTCTTCTGGTCTCACAAAAACACCTCACTTTCAGGCAAGAGCAATAGTATCCTTTTAATAATTATAGTACCGCACAAGAATCAAATACTATATACTCAGTTTTCTCAACCTCAGCACTACTGACATTGTGGGCCGAATAATGCTCTGTTTGTAGGGCGCTATCCTGTACACTATGGAATGTTTAGCACTATTCCTGGACTCTATGCTCAAGATGCCATTGGCAGCTCCCTTGTTGTGAAAATCAAAAATGTCTCCAAGCATTGCCAAATATTCCCTCAAGGGAAAAAGTTACTCCTGGTTGAGAGGATTATTAGTGGATAATATATATCCACTCTATATTAGTGGATCATAAACTCACATGTAGTGGGTCTTTTTTTTTTTTTTTTTTTTTTATGACAGTCACAGAGAGAGAGAGAGGCAGAGACACAGGCAGAGGGAGAAGCAGGCTCCATACACCGGGAGCCCGACGTGGGACTCGATCCCGGGTCTCCAGGATCGCGCCCTGGGCCAAAGGCAGGTGCCAAACCGCTGCGCCACCCAGGGATCCCCACATGTAGTGGGTCTTAAGGAACATTTTTAAAAGATAAATGACATAAAATTGAAATAGAATAGAAATCTTAGAAAACATCACAGATACTCAAGTATTGCTTAGTGATATGAATTTCTTACAGGGTTTTTTAAAGATTTTATTTATTATTATTTATTTATTTATTTTTATTTATTTATTATTTTTATTTAGAAAGAGAACATGAGTGGGCGGAAGGGGCAGAGCAAAAGAGAAGTAGGCTCTCCACCAAGCAGGGAGCCCAACGTTGGGCCCGATCCCAGGACCCTGAGATCATGACCCAAGTCGAAGGCAGACGTTTTTAACTGACTGAGCCACCCAGGCACCCCTTACAGAAAACTCTATAAAGTAGGCAGGACAGATGTTATGCCCATTTTACAAATCAGAAAATTGGGGCTCAGATCAGCTGAGGGACCAGTTCTCAGTGTTACTTAGTAGGCTAAAGGAAGAATATGAAGTAGAACCCAAGTCTCTAAACTTCTAGTTACAAGGTAAAAAGGAGATTGTTACCTGAGAGCCAAGATCTCTTGTGGGGTTCAGAAGAATAGAGACACCATGGAGTCGTAGGTCTTTGGCAGTGGGTCCAATCATTAATACAATACATTAGATGGAAGTTTGAAAAACACTTCATCAAGATTTTTATTTTCCACACTGGCTTGCTAAGTTTTGTATACCCAGAGTCACTTACGGAATGAATAAATGAATGCACACTGACCACACAATACCTGTTCATCTTCAATCACCAAGTTCTTCTGATCACCCTCAATCAAGCATGTTCCTCCATTTGCTTGGAATCTCTTCTCTCTTTTCCCACTGACTTTCTTTTTAACTCTTAATTTTTTCAATTTATTTTTTTTTAAGATATTTATTTCGTTATTCATGAGAGACACAGGCAGAGGGAGAAACAGGCTCCATGCAGGAAGCCTGACGTTCGACTGGATCCCTGGGCTGCAGGTGGCGCTAAACCGCTGAGCCACCCGGGCTGCCCTAATTTTATTTTATTTTATTTATTTTTTAAAGTAAGCTCTATGCCCAATGTGGGGCTTGAACTCATAATCCCAGATCAAGAGTCACATGCTCTGCAGAGGTGCCCTTCCCCACTGACTTTTAGAATCAGCTCTTCCATAGTCCTCTAGGGGCCATCTTCCACAAATCCCCAGATGGGCTTATTCCTCTCGTTTCCCTAAAGGCCTTACCTAATTGTCACTGTAATGATCTGTTTTATAACCGTTCCCTAACACTCCCTGTGCCTTTGCAACCCTTTCTACTGCATCTCCCTCCATCCCAGAGGTAGCAACTATGTCCTAGTTCAAAAAAGCATAAACCACCAATCCCACCACAGTGCTTAGAAATGCAGTTGCTGTGTAACACCTGTTGACTGAGTGGAAGGAAAGAAGACAAGGCAATTATCTGACACTATTGAAGAGAACGCTACTGCTTCCTTTTGAGCTGAGAAGAAGACTAAACTACCCATTTAAAGAAAAGGGTTAAAGAAAAGGACAGCCGCTAGAAGGCTCCAGCGCTCGCTCCTCGCTCCGTGGTGGCAGGCCACCCCTCTGTGGAGGTATGAGTGCACTGCAGGGTGCTCACAGTGCTGCCCAAGCCAAACTTCAAAACCAAACTGCAGTCCCCACCACTAAGCCAGCCAGAGCTGGCCCTATCCCTGCGTCTTAAGCCCTAAGCTGTCTAGTTCTATGTCCCCATGTGGTCAGAGTTACTCAGGACCCCAGCTAAACAGAGGGCTTCACGTGCCCTAGAAGATTCTGAACCATTAGGTTGGAGATAAGGAACCAGTATTTTGTGTTTTTAACCAGTACCCCAAGTGATTCTTATTATCAAAACTTTAGGAAACCAAACATCTTCCTGTCACTCACTCTATGCAATTAGGGCAGTTATTTATTTTTCAGTGGTTTTTACTTCAATGTTTACCGTTGGGATATGCTGTTGGTTAACAGATAAAATGTTCCTGAGGTCCTCAAACTCCGGTTTATTAATATTCAGAATATGTTATTCTAGAGGTTTTACCTTCTTTTTCGGCAGAGTAACTCAAGTGAGAGGCAAGGAACACAGGGCCACCCCCAAGGTCAGAGAACTTCTGGCCACGAGCCAAACTAGGCACTGAACCTGCTCAGTGCTGGGATGGCCTGGGCGTTATCAGACCCAACTCACTCCTTTCATAGTTGAGATCAAAGGAGCTGAGGTGACCAGCACCACAGTCTTTCTCACCAGGCTTTGGACAGAACTAGGGGGAGGTCTTTCCTTTAACAAGATCCTGGTTAGAAGCTGCCCAAGGAGGGACGCCTGGGTGGCTTAGCAGTTAGGCTCCTGCCTTCCGCCCAGGGCGTGACCCTGGAGACCCGGGATCGAGTCCCACATCGGGCTCCCTGCGCGGAGCCTGCTTCTCCCTCTGCCTGTGTCTCTGCCTGTCTCTCTCAGGAATGAATAAATAAATAAAATTCTAAAAAAAATCTGTCCAAGGAAAAGAGAGAGCTGAGAGAAAAACGGGCACGACTTTTTTACTCCTATTCTCACCAAGTCTGCATCACACTGAGAGGTCGGGGCAAGATTTAGCTAGGTCTCGCTGGCCGCCTGTCTTCCCTCCTAGTCAAATCCAGTCTCTCCTTGTTAATCGGAGCTCTCTCCGGTGGGAAAAATACCCACAGACGTTTCTGAAGAGGGAGGAAGTCTTCCATCATTCGTGACCTCATGAAGCCCGTCTGGGCCAAGAAGATAGTGGCCGCTTGGCTGAGGGCCCCGAAGACTTCCGAAGTTCTGCTCCAGGGTGGAAGGGCTGGGACTCTTCAAGCCGACCGTGCAGTACGCACAGATAAAACCTCGGGCCCCAAGGTCTCACTGGGAGAGCCGCAGACTCGGGATGGGCGGGGGCGGGGCGGGGCGGGGGCGGGGGGCAAGGGAAGGGGGGAGGGGTGGGGGAGCCCCGCGCGCAGGCGCACCTCCGCCGGCTGCCCCGGCCCGCACCCGGGAGCGGCGTGGGGGCGGGTCACGTGGGCCGCGCAGCCCTCTCCGCGATGTCCCTACAAGGACTTGGGCTAGCGGGCCCCGCCCCTGGCCGTGCCCTGGAATGTGCGGGGAGGCCGACCGACGGGACGGGCTCACCCATTTTCCAACGGGAAAGGGGGGGAAGAGAAGCTTTACGTTGAAAGAGGAGGTATAAAGAGACGGAAACTCAGCCCAACCATTACACGAACGGACCATTACACACTCTTGTCGATTCCGAGTCGCCCGCTTTATACCCCTTCCCGTGCACTCGTTCAAACTTGCACCCCCCAAGCACACTGGCGGCTCCCCCCGCCCGTCGCCTCTCTACTAAGCCAGGCCCGCTCCGTCGGCCGACAATGGTGACTGGGCTTCCTTCCGGCCTGCTGAGCGGAGGCCGGAAGTGCTGGCTTTAGGGGCTCCGGGAGTAGAGGGGACTTGGTGGCCGCAGCCAGGGCAGCGAGGGGGTCACCGAAGCGCTCCGATTCTCGCGGCTGTGCAGGGTGAGTGGCGCTTGCCGTCCGGCGCGTGAGGCCCGCCCCGGGGACGCGTCTCCGCGGGGCGTGTGGGGGCGGGGGGCGGCGGCGGCCCCCGGCGGCCCCCGGCGGCCCCCGGCGGCGGGAGCGCACCTGGGCAGGTGTCCTGGCGGGTTCCCGGGTTGCGAGCCCAGGGGCCAGCTCCAGCTCCCGGATCGGAGGCCACGCCCGGAAGTACCGAGGCGCGAACCTTGTCCCTCTGCCCAAACTTGGAGCTCGGGGAGTAGGACTTAGCTGGCTGGCGCCGCGATCTTCGCGAGCAGCCGGGCCGGTGAAACCCGAGCCCCGCCGCGCTGACTCCTGCACTATGTTTAGTTTCTAACGTAAACTTGCCCGATTCAGGAGAGTTTGCGCAAAATCCGAAGCCCAGCGTCCACCCCCCCTCACCCCCCATATGCTGCAGCTGTTGTTGCAGCTGTGTAGCTACGTTTAGTAGGAATAACCAACTCAAATTAGCAATTTTCTCAGCTCAGCATCCGCTTCTATAATCAGAACTTTTTTAAAAGTGATATTTGTCAAAGCAGGGTTGAGGGTGTAGATCGCGCACCTTGAGGAAACTCCAAAATACACCACCATGTTCCTTTTGGGTGGAGACTTTGGGTCGGGTCATTTTTCCAAAATATTTCCTTTTATTTATTTATTTATTTATTTAATATTTCCTTTTAAAGTCGGTGAGTGGGTGTATGAAAGAGTATACCATTTCTTAACAGAACTTTGGAACAGAAGTAGGGGTTCAGTTGAGATTTTATAACTTAAATGCAAAATGCTTTATATATCAAAGTGAAGGATGAGTATTTCTTAAAGTTACTACTATTTGTTTACTACTGGAAGACTTTGATAAAACTTTTCCATTTTCAACAGTGAGGCTTGATGCGACGGTCAGTGAGCCCTGACAATTAATTGCCTTTGTCAAGTGCTAAGAACTCTTTGGGTGTGGCAGTCAGAGATCTAATCCTACCTCCAACCGGAAGCTTGCATAGAAAATGAAGACTTGGTTCATTTGAAAAGGAGGCACCAAACTGAAAATGTATTTTTAAAAAAACTGGCTGGCACCAAAAAATCACATATGCTTAGCTTGAGGATAAAGTACATTGATTAAATGAAACAGGAGATTTGGTACGGATACTACATGCTGTCACACTACGAAGTGTTTTCTTTTTTTCTTTTAAGTAGGCTCCAGGCACAGCGTGGAATCCATGGAGGGGCTTGAACTCAAGACCCTGAAATTGAAACCTGAGCTGAAATCAAGAGTCAGACATTTAACTGACTGAGCCACCCAGGCAACCCCACTAGGAATTGTTTTCTAAGATGGAAGTTTTTCCTTAAAGAATATGTCATATTTCCTTATTTACTATCAGTTTGAGTGTCATTTCTGTAGGAAAAAAAAAAATCTCTAGATTATTTTACATTTATTACCACTTTATAAATGTTAGATTCTAGGGCAGCCCGGGTGGCTCAGCGGTTTAGCACCTCCTTCAGCCCAGGGCATGATCCTGGAGACCCTGGATGGAGTCCCACATCAGGCTCCCTGCTTGGAGCCTGCTTCTCCATCTGCCTATGTCTCTGCCACTCTCTGTCTCTCATGAATAAGTAAATAAAATCTTTTAAAAAAAAATAAATAAGTGTTACATTCTAGGATTTGTCCTAGAGCAATTTAATGTACTATTTGTATGTATGGATTGATCCTATTTTATGAATGAAACCATAGAATCTAGAGAGGCTGAAAACTCTTCTGGTTACCCTTTGATGTACGGGACAAATCTCTTTAAGGATCTTTATTTTTCTTCTACCAATTAATCTAGTGTAACATCTTCCTTACATGATTTGTAGCCTGCCTTTGGTCATAATCCTGAATCGAGTCTCTTCCTATTTGGTCAACTAAAACACACACAAATTCATTGCTACCAACACTTACTTCCCCTGATTTAAAACAAAGTTATACTCCTCTAGATCTGAAAACTGAATCTTCTTGATCACCACTGATGGTGTTTTCGTTCACTTTCTTGTGCACCTGAAATCCTTTCATATTTCACAAACGCTTGCTCTGCATGTTTCCCTGCTCTAAAGTTTTATACAACAAATAATGCCTTCACACCAAGGATCTTTCATTAAGTACTTGAAAAATAGACTCGGGGCTCTAACTTAGAATGAGTGAGAGTCCTCATAACTTGAAAATCTTAGATGCCTATGTCTTCCCATACTACATAAAGAATATTTATATTGATGCATGAAATATTTTCAATGCTTTTTACTCTAGCTTTCTAAACTTCTATGAGAGTTGTGCATTTGCTGAAGGCTTGTTACATGAGGAGAGTTACAGTCTTACTTGTTTGAGGAAAGTAAAAGTGGGTAACAAACTAGAATCATAGCAAAGAGGACAATGACAGTATCGTAAGTGATCTGTTCTTTGGGATCATAGCACTGTCCCTGATTTGGTTCCGTCTACATCATTTATTCCACCCATACTTTGAGTTTGGTAGGAAAAAGTAAACCACACTTTACTTATTTTAGACCAACTTACTGTGAAGCTGAACTGCCTATTGCTGGAAGGCTCCTGGTCTCTGGTGGGAGATAAACTCATAAACAAAAACATAACCTCCTTGAAAAAGTAAAGGGCTGGGTACTAACTTGCCTAACATTATACTACTAGTTTTTGGTAGAATTAACTACCTTAATTTGTTAGAATTAAAACTAACATCTGAATATCTTAATTCTAAGGTTATCTTCTAGCTGCTATATGATACAGGGTTTTTCAAGGTCTTCCCCCACGTTCTCTATTTTAGAAACAAAGATCTTTTCTCACCTCACAGTATTTTATAATCATGTACCACCTTTATTTTTCATTATTGTCACACATGTTTTTTTTTTTTTTTTTTTTTGTCACACATGTTTTAACTTGAGAGTCCTACTACTTCAGGGATGAAAACTATGACTCATTTCATAAGTTTAACCACTCATTTCTTCATAGTTGCTTCCCTACCTATATGTTAAACTTCTTGAAGATAGAATTCTTGTCTTACTTTTTTTTTTTAAGATTTTATTTATTCATGAGAGAGGCAGAGACATAGGCAGAGGGTAAAGCAGGCTCCCTGCAAGGAGGTTGATAATGGGGCTCGATCCCAGGACTCCAGGACCACGACCCAAGCTGAAGGCAGTGCTCAACCGCTGAGCCACCCAGGCATCCCACATTTCTTAATTTTTGAGTAGTATTTAACACTAGTGACATTCGATGTAATTAACTGATCATATTAATGATTGATGATTATTGATTGAGTTAAAGAAAAGCTCTATGTGAGACCACTGTCAGTGCTGACCAAAAAAAAAAAAAACCTTTATAACTTTTAGAAACTATTTTACAAGGAATACAGATTTAAATAATGCATGATTAAAAGAAGAACTAATGGCAAATACTTTAAAATTCAAATGTATGTATAAAACTTTATAGCTCAAACTGTTTTTAAAAGGTACCTAGAGGACTCCTACCAAATTAATACGAGGTTTTATAGATTTAAAAATGTGTCAACTATTTGACCTATAATTCTCATCAGTTTCTTTGTTCTTAAAATAACTGACATTCCTGCCTCATGAGGGGAAGACAGTGTTGTCAAACAAAACAGACTATTTTTAAAGACATACTTTGGTTTGCAAACACATGCATGCCTAAAATATTAATGAGAGGTGTAATGGTAAATATGTGCCACTCACTGGGTCTCAGCCACTCACCCTAAGTCCTTGAGTACAGTTAAGAGATGAAGGAATAATATACACTATATCTCTTTGTAGTTTTTAAAAAGACGTTTGGGGGGGAATTAAAAATTAAAACAATTTTTTTAAATATAAGTACATTTAGGGGACACCTGGGTCGCTCAGGGGTTGAGCGTCTGCCTTTGGCTCGGGTCATGATCCTGGGGTCCTGGGATTGAGTTCCACATGGGGCTTCTCTCGGGGAGCCTGCTTCTCCCTCTGCCTGGGTCTCTGCCTCTCTGTATCTCTCATGAATAAATAAAATAAATAAAAGTACACTCAGAATAGAGAGGAAAATTACAGCACTATTTAGGTTTTTTTTTTTTTTCAGCTCTAGTTTAGGTAATAATGGTATTTACTGCCCCCAAAAGATGTTGCAAAAATGAAAATATAAATTCAAGAATGGTGCAGATAAGTTATGACAGGCAGCCTCCCAAATTATGATTAAAGGAAACTTGGAAATTGGGGAGGAGTGTATATCATAACTTGTGTGTTGTGTAGGGTATATCTTACCAACAGCACATTCCAGTGTATCACCAAGTGCTATATTGGATGGCCTGGAATTTGTGACTCTCCTTTGTGGAATTTCCTACTAAAATCTGAGAGCAATTTAGCTTTAAAAAAAAATCTGAGGCAGAGCTTTTCTAATTATTTCTATAATTGAATTTAGTCTGGGTGATGTGGTCTAATCAAGAGAAGAATGTAAGAAATAACTTTAAGCTCATAGGAAGCATTGTATTCTAAGGTCACTTTGCAGTGCTGAGATCTAGGTAGTGCTTCATTCTTTGCAGTCCACAGATTTATTTTTAGAGCAAGGGCATAGTGTTTTGCTACATCATAGCTAAATGTTGTTTTCAGAACGTAAGCTTTAAAATTGTTACCCTGGTCAGAGAGTGAAATCAGTAGTGCCTATTTTAGGCCTGCTTGGAAGAATATAACTCAATACAGTGACCTAGTCTTGCTGGTTAGAGATTTTGCAGACTACCATCGCCACTTCAGCTCTGAAGGATGGTACGGTAAAATTTTATTGTCTGATGACTATGGGGTTTTTAACTCCAAACAAATTTTTATATTCTTTTTAGAGATTGAGTTTTGAAAGTTAAATTGCCTTTTCATTTTAGGTATTAAGCATTCTTTTTACTTTTATCTTAAATTTTACGGGGATAAATTTAGATTATTAGAGAGCAAGGTAATTTCTATAGCTCTTAAAATGTTTGCTAAAACTTAAAAATAACTTTAAGAACTGTTGTCCTATATATGATTTTTGTCTATAGAGCACTCAGTCACCTCAGGTGATTTAGCTTGGATCTGTGCAAGAAATTGGTTTGGATAGAGTGGAAGTAAAAAATCAGAGGTGAATTTGTAGTTTTTTATACTCTTCAGTTAGTTGTTCAACAAATATGTTTCTTAAACTACTTTGATTCCAGAAGTGAGGGTATAATAAAAATGGTTAGTTGCAAGTGGAAGAATGCTATTTGACAGTGGAGATTAGAACATGAAGACCTCCTCATTCCATCAATGAGTCTTCCTGCTTTCTGTCCACCTTAGAATGAGGACAGCTAGTTTAGGCTGAAGCTGCAGGGTAGACTTGTTGAAGATTGAATTAGTATTCCCCAGTACTACCAATAGCACTGAAGTATAGGACTGTATCCCAGGGTACCTACATTTTTTTTTTGTTTGTTTCTTGTTTTCTTTATTGTTATTAAACCAGTAGATTTGGTTACCAGTACCTTGTCTGGCTATCCAGCCAGCATGGGGGGCATCCAATCTTGTTGATACACTCTGAGCTTTGAATTTATGTTGGTTTTAGTTTGGAATTTGAAGTTAGTGATGGACTGTTGATTAGGTGACACAACTGCTAAGGATGAGTGAACTCAAAGCATGAGTCTGGTTTTTTCTCTTTGTAGTTTGGTTTTATAAATAATAGTATTGATTAGTTGAATGAGATTTTTTTTTTGTCAAGTGATACTACTATGGTGAGTAGTTTTTAGTTCCATTTCTAAGTAGCTCAGATAAGTTAAGAAGTTTGATTCAATTTGCTTTTTTTTCCCCCCTTCCTAATTAGGATTTAACCGCCACCATGTCAAGCAAAAGGGCAAAGACCAAGACCACCAAGAAGCGCCCCCAGCGCGCAACATCCAATGTATTTGCCATGTTTGACCAGTCACAGATTCAGGAGTTCAAAGAGGCCTTCAACATGATTGATCAGAACAGAGATGGTTTCATTGACAAGGAAGATTTGCATGATATGCTTGCCTCCCTAGGTAATGATCAGTTTTAATATTAAAGCTAAATGGAATTTCTGTATTGCCTGTGAAGCCAATCTAATGATGTTATAGTTTACCAAGGTTCAAAGTCTGAACAGTGTTTCCCAAAGTTTCTTTGGACCACCTGCAAATTTCCGGCCAGGTCTTACGATTGGGCTAAGGGCCAGCATGTTGTGTGTGTGTGTGTGTGTGTGTGTGTGTGTGTGTGTGTGTGTGTGTGTGTGTGCTGTAAACAGTGATATTGATTATGAGAGCAGTAGTATGCCTCCTTACATTCCAGGGGAATAGGATACAATCTCTAGACTCTTAATAACAGGCCTTATTCATTGAGAAGACTTTTTCCCGAATAGTTTTGCTATTGTGACTACAAATAGCAAA